TGTTTATCATTCATACATCAGTTTTAAATAAAATTTAAAACTCCAACACAATCATCCAATGCATTAGTATCATTATCCAAGGGAATGTTAAAATTTGATTCCCATCATGTACACAATAAATGGTAAAGACATTGATGTTTGAAGACAACAAATACATTAGCTTTAAATAAGAAAGTTAACAATGCCTTATGAAAGATAAGAAAATTATCCAGCTCAACAGTTTGAAGTCAGTTTGTATCATAGCTTAATCACTACTTCACAATTCCATCAAAATGTTTAGTCTTAAATCAAAAAGTCTCAATTAATGGACTAACTGAATGTACATTTTGTGATGGCTTAACAAATGTTTAAAACAGATGATTTCTACTCTTAGGCTGTAAATATCAAGGACATCATTTCACTCAAGTAGCTTCAATGACATGCAAAAGCTCAAAATCATATCTTTTTTTAATTCTTTCATAACTTAAAATGGAAAAATATGCAAAATGTCATAAAGAAATATCCTTTAGAGTTAAATTATTATTTTTATTTTTTATTATTCTTAAAGATGATTTTATTGTCACTTATACAACAGAGCATTTGCTCATTATTCATTTTATAACAATACATGGAGAAAAAAAAGGTTAAAAAAATAGCAATATCAGTTATGACTTACAGATTCTTATGATGGCGATTCATATAATTAATTTACAATTATAACAATTGATTACTTTTGAAGTCAGTGTCACTGTCAGAGATGGTGTAAACTATGTATATTCACATAAATGTACATGCACAAATATTTTTCTTATCCAATTACAAGCTTCTAAAGAAAACAGATTGTGAGATTTAATATTCAGATAACATTAAAGATTGGAACAAAGATAAATAACTGTTTTTGTTAGTTCGATTTTTACCCAGATTTTAACATATTTTTTGTTAAATCTCAATGGTCAGTTTACCAAACAATCTTTCCTGGATAACTTACCAGTAATTACCAATTTATACACAAGTGACCAACTACTAACACCACACAGTGTCTATTCTAGGACGCGCGATTGCGCGATTCACGCTAGTATTTCAGAGATCGCGCACAATTCAAAATCATGTGCGTGAAAATCGCGCATCTATAAAAAAAGTAAAAAAAAACGTAAAACTTCCATCCCACATTATATTTGGTTGTTTTGTTTACATTTACACCGAAAACCGAAGGGAGGTAACTGTACGCTAATTATAATAATTAAGTACCGTATGGTATTGGTTACGCGAGTTGACGGAAATTAACGGAATGTTCCGTATCGACCGGACTGGTGTGCTAGGTCTGACAGTTGGGCGCCATTTTAGTGTAGTAAATAATCAAGAAAAATGAGGCAATTCCTAGCTTGGCTACGATCTAAACATGAAAGATAGGCCGATTATTTGTATTGCCAATCCCTTTATAATCAATCGCGGCAGTTCTGTAATAATATGTTTTCGTTTAAAAATTAAGGGGGGACAACTTCTGCTGCCTTAAATAAATATTATTGTTTTAATTATTTCATCATCATCGGTTGAACGCCTCAGTGTAAACTTAATGCAGATGACTTAACATTGGCAGTTTATATTGGCACCCCTTGATTTTGAAAATCGCCCCCTTTTTTGAAATAGAGGGGGGAAAATCACCCCTATTTTTCATTTCCTAGAATAGACACTGACCACATGATTTCTGAATCAGTTGCGAGACAAAATGATCAAGATCACTTGTTAAGAAGAAATTTCTCCAGCCAGACAATCAAACCAGGGACCACCATGATTATAAAACCAAACTGATGACATTTAAAAATTTTAATGCTAATCCGGAAAATTCAATTAAGGCATTTAACAAACATTATATTCTATATGACTAAAATTCTTGGTTTTGTTAAAATACCTAAAAATTCTATTTCCTCAATACCGTGATAGTATTTTGTACTCCTACTCCACCATACTTTAAAATGAATACAAAAAAATAAGCTTAAAAGACTCCAAAATCACAAAAAGATTAATTTCTGTCTAAAAAAGTTAACTGTTTGAATGTCAAATTTAAGAAAACAAAAAATCATTAAATTGATCAACAAAGCATCTTTTCATATTTACATTACAAGCATACAATTTATATACATCCCTAACTCAATAGTTAGAAGCTTAACAAGAAATACAACAATATCTTAAACAAAGTACCAGCAACTAAAATATACATATATGCACCATTCTTTAAAATGAATACTAGTCTCGGACATATTTCACACAGTCATAAAATCTTTGCACACAATTCAACTTTTATTCACATGCAACATCAGCTAAAGCATATATTTTTTTCCTTCATGATATACGCAAAGGGAATGATAAGTTTTGCAGATTTCTTTTCTGTCTTTAACATATTCATGTAGCAGTAATCTTTTCACATTTCAGCTGTACAAATACCTATTTTAGACAATGCTTTTAAGTACAACACTTTTAAGGAAGTCCAACAAAAATATGAAGTATATTTTGAAGTGTGTTTCACATGCAATAAAATATGTACAAGAATAAACAGATCAACTGCTTCTATTACCAGCACATTAACAACTATTAAATCATTATTTATTGTACTGGTTGAACAGATTCTTGCTGAACAGTGGCATCATCCTGCACTGCATACTGTACGGTACCTCCCTGATTAACTATTGCTTGAGTTACCTCATTTGGATCATTGGTCTGCACAATTATAATCGTCTCCTGCCCTTCCTGACCTTGAACAGCCTGAATGGTCTGATACTGACCATCTCCTACCATCGCAGCATACTGCCCTTCTGATACAGTGACATAAGTCTGCCCATCTTCTCCTTGTAATTGCTCAATTCCCTCCCCTTCTTCATCTTCACCATCCATTTCTTGCTTCACAAAGCTCTCGTCATCTTCATCATCTTCATATTCTATCTCGTATTTTCTTACTATGGCTTGTGCAGATTCCCCAGCAGAAACATGAATTTCTCCTATATGCTCCAGCAACTTCTTCTTCCTTTTGAATGTTTCCTGGCACATATCACATTGATATGGACTCAGCTTCTTGTGCACAAGCTGGATGTGCGACATCAGGTTAGACTTGTTATTAAAACAGCGTCCACAATCATGGCATTTGTGGGGACGTTCTCCAGTGTGAATCAACATGTGACGATCCACATGGTACTTCTTCGTGAATCTTTTCTCGCAGACTGAACAGATAAAGATCTTTTGGTTTGGAGATTTCCAGCCTTCATGTACACGCTTGGTATGGCCAATTAGAGCTCCCAGTGTCTTGAAAGCGGCCTTGCATGTATTACAGAGATACTGACGAGTATGCAAATGCATCCCTTTGATGTGGGTGTTCAGATTTCCTCGGAAAGCAGAAGCATAATCGCAATGTGGGCATTTGTAAGGTCTTCTGCCAGAGTGGACAGTTCTCATGTGGGAACTCATTCCAGTTTTTAATACAACCTTTCCACAAATGGGGCATGGAATCTGCATGCGGTTTTGCTGATGAAGTTCCATATGACGTTTAAGATTTTTTGACATCTTACCACATTCAGGACAAGGTTCTCCATCTTCATTCTCACCCATTGTTGACACTTTCATGATTCTTTCTCTCCATTTAGCATTTCTCATTTCTTCTTCAAAATCAGGTTCATCTTTATGCTTGGTTTTGATATGTTTAACTAACCCTATAAATGCCTTGTCACAGAATGGACACTTCAAAGCCTCTTCTGCATTTCTCTTGAAAGAACGTCTCCTGTTTTCAGTATCCTCAAACAAACCTAAACCGTCATCTTTAAAACGACGTTTACGTGGAGAATCATCCATATCCCATTCTTCACCTTCAATACCTAGAGGACCAAATCTCTTCTTTTTCAATCTTGGATCAGTCTGGGTCATAACAGTCCTTTTACCTGGAGATTCACTGAAGGTTACAACTTCTACAAAGTTCTCAAGCTCGGGTGTTTCAATAGGGGTTTGAGTAGAAAATGTTTTCATTGCAGGAACAGGAGTTGCTGCTACTGGCTTGAGCTCAATAGTTTCTCCCTGGTTAGAAGTTGATGGCTGGGGATCATGGTCTACATCTTCAAAACTGTACGGGTCATTATCAGTTCCCTGATGGTCCCTTCTTATTACAGCTTGTTCATATTCCTCATCTTCCTCCATTTCCTCCTCCTCATCAAATTCTTCAAGCTCTTCCTCCTCTTCTTCATCAACATCTTCATTAACATCCCTCATTTCCATTTGTCCTCTCATTTTCTTTGCAGGAGAAGAATATTCTATTCCAAACATTTCAGCTCGTTTTCTTTCTATCAAAGGGTTCTCAAATTCTTCATCTTCTTCCAATTCTTCTACTTCCTCCTCATCCTCCTCCTCACTTTCTTCAACTTTTTTTGATTTTCTTTTAGGTGTACCTTTTTGCACAGGTGTTGCCGATTTTGATGGCCTACCTCTTTTTCTAGGCGATATCTCTTCTTCCTCAACTTCTTCTAACTCCTCATCATCTATATCCTCCTTGACAATCTTCTTTCCCCGTCCTCTACCTTTTTTTGGAGATGGGGTTGGGCTTTCTTCAACATCTTCATCAGTATTCTTCCTGCCTCTACCTCTTCCTCTCCCTTTTGGAGTAGGTGTTGATTTAGCATCCTCTGTAACTTTTCTTTGCTCTTCCTCTACCCTTCTTTACAGGTGTTTCTTCTTCAATTTCTTCCTCTTTTATATCTTCTTCCATTTCTTCAGCTGCCTCCTTAATTGCCTTACTTGATTTACCAGGTGTGTCAACAGATCCTCTTGTACGTTTGGGATACAGTTTCTTGTCATCATCTTCTACAATTTCTTTTCAGCTGATTTAGACACTTTTGCTGGTCTTCCTCTTCTTGGTGTAACCTTTTCCTCAGTCTCATCAGATTTGCCAGAGGACTGTCTTGCTCTCCTTCCACGTCCCCTTGTTTCTTTAGCAGGAGCCTCAGCTTCAATCACAGGAGCATCCTCATCTTGGTTTACATCATTCTCATTAAACTTCCTTCTCCTCCACTAAAACTGGAGGAGACATTGACTTATCCTTAACAGCATTGCCAGAATCACCCTCTGAAACAGTATTGATTTGACCCCCAGTATTTATAATATCAGTTGATACTTTGACAACCGGCTTCAATGCCAGCAACAAGCTGTTTGCTTTCATTAACCTGACTCCTCCAAGAGTATGTATTTCTCAGGAACTATAGCAGGCTCTGTCACAGGGACTTGGTCAAAGTCAGCAATTACCTGGGATGAACTGTTGTCATTGGCAACCTGAAATGAATATGACATTGCTTAGCTTATCGTATCGAAAGCTGTTCATTTAATTTTGATTCATAAGATGATTACAACTCTGAACAAGAGCACCGCTAGGTGGAGCATTATATGCCCGAAAGTGTTTTTTTTAGTAAGGATGAAGCATTTGTAAGACATGGGAATTAGCCGTTCATACTATAAAATTTTACAGCTGTAGGTTGATTAATACTTAAGTTATTAATAATGACCTTAACCTTTGACCTTGTGACCCCAAAATCAATAGGGGTCTTCTATCTAATATGGACAATCATCCTAAAAAGTTTGAATATTGTGGGCCAAATGGAACTTTAGTTATGCTCCGGAAAGCGTTTTCAATTTTAAGACAATAGTGACCTTGACCTTTTGACCTCAAAATCAATAGGGGTCTTCTACCCAATATGGACAATAATCCTATGAAGTTTGAATATTGTGGGCCAAATGGAACTTAAGTTGTGCTCCAGAAACTGTTTTCAGTATCAAGGTAATAGTGACCTTGACCTTTGACCTTGTGACCCCGAAATCAATAGGGGTCTTCTACCCAATATGGACAATCACCCTATGAAGTTTGAACATTGTGGGTCAAATGGAACTTAAGTTATGCTCCAGAAACTGTTTTCAGTTTTAAGGTAATAGTGACCTTGACCTTTGACCTTTTGACCCCAAAATCAATAGGGGTCTTCTACACAATATGGACAATCATCCTATGAAGTTTGTACATTGTGGGCCAAATGGAACTTAAGTTATGCTCCAGAAACCAAATTGCTAACGGACGGACATACAGACAGACGGACACCAGGGGGTATAACATAATATGCCCTTTCGGGCATATAAAAACATTCAAAGATATGTTATGCCTTAAATTTATTTCACAGCATATTATTCTTGATTCTTCATGACATGCAGTACCCCACCTTTATTACTCTGTTGACTTATCATATGTTAATATTAGAGAAACAAGATAATTTTAATTACCAAGTGCCACCCTGGTATTAGTCAGTGGTAACAGCATCTTCTTGGAAATAAATCTATATGACTACGTAATCTTAGCTTGTTATTTGTATCACATGAAAAACATGATGTAAAAACAGAATCAAACTTAAAGTGAACAGACCTTGAGACATTAAAGTCTGTCAGTTAAAGAACTTTTCTTCTTAATTAATTGCATTTAAAAGTTAGTGAACCTAAAAAAAATTAAAAATGTTGTGTTGATATAAATCAAATGCTTAAATAAACTTCATTGAGCAACTAGTAGTTCATTAAATATCATCATAGCGACTTTCAAATACACATTTGTTTATTTTCAGTGCCATATACATGTATATTTTATATGTATCTACATATAAAGGTGTACATGTATATTTTGTGAAATAAAATTAGAAAAAAATCCAATGATATAACTCTATTTTGATGATCACTTCTCCCTAAATTTTAAGACTTCTCCCTATTTTTCCTGAAGGGAGAAGTCACTTCTCTCTAAATTTTCAGTCCAAGGTAGTCCCTGTGTACTAAAATGTTCTACCATTGATGGTGATAATTTAACTAAGTAGTCAGTAAACAGGAAGTGGATGAGCAATTGACCTGAAATCAAATCCCACAGTATGGGACCAGGTGTTATTGCTGAATACCAAATAACAAGGTTGTGGTAAGTAGTTGCTGAAAAACTGTTACAAAAATTTAATACCATTGACCATTTATGATGGAAATTTAACAAAGTCGGTTAACAGGAAGTGCATGCAGGGCCTTTTTACCCTTCTGTACTGTAGCCGGTATTCGGCTACTTCCCCAAGCCAACTTACTACCTTTTTTCCCCAAAAAACAGTATAAAATTCCCCTTCTTGCAAAGATTTTCCCTTTCAGAGAAATGTAACATCAAAGAAAAAAATTTGTTTAACTTTCTTGTTTAAAAATAGATCATTGTTTTTGTCCAATGAAAGCTAATTATTCAATAACCCACTAGAGGGATACCTCAAATCAAAGACCCTCACATGTCATACATAAATTTTCTATAATTAGGAAATATGAGTTAATGTATTCTTAGGCAAATAAAAAGTGGCAATAAATTAATCTGTAAAAAAATCCCTGTAACTTATGTTGGACAGAAAGCTCCTAAAATAAGTGTGTTTGGGGGAAAATATGCAAATATATTTTGATATTTCCCCCAAATGTATGATTTAAATAAGTCTTTATTTATAGTAATAACGGTTAAACTGCCAGTGGAAAATGTGATTTTTTTCCTCAAAAGTATTAAAACCGCACATTTTTTCCTCACAAAAAGGGCTTGGGCGCCTTCCCCAAAACTAGTGAAAAGGCCCTGGCATGAGCGAAAGACCTGAAATTCTCTCCCACAGTATGGGACCATGTGTTAATGCTGTATACCTATTATCAAGAGGCTGTGATAAGTACTTGCTGAGAAAACTGTTACGAAAATCAGCAAACAGGAAGTGGATGAGCCACAGACCTGAAAGCGAATCCCACGGTAAGGGACTATGGGTTTATGCTGTATTCCAAATATAAATAGGCTGTGATAAGTAGTTGCTGAGAAAACTGAGATAAAAATTTCCCCACCCACCCAACATTCACCATCCTATTACCCGGGTTTGCACCTGTGCAACCAAGCCAAAAATTGTTTGATGAATTGAAAAGTTGTGGTCTGGATACAAAACAGGCTCTTTTAACAGACAGGTCTTGTTTAGCTTTGACCTTTAAGTGTGGCCTTGGGTCTGGGTTTTGTCAATGACACATCCTTTTATTTTTGTAAACATTTGTGTCAAATTATTTCTAAATCCCTAGATGGATGAAAAAGTTATTGACCAGACATGCAATAAACATTATATCAGGTAAAGTGAACTTTGATCTCCAATTGTGACCTTGACTTGAAGGTTGGGGTCTGGGTGTTGCACATGACACATTATTTTTCACAATCCCTTGATGAACGACTGAGCTATGGACTGGACAAGAAGTGAGACTGACAGATAGATTGGCAGAGGGAGAATTTCTATACCCTGCAGTTTCCTCTAAAAAGCAGTGGAAAATTAGACAAAGCATGAATATAGATCCCCTTTTTTCCAAGGGCGTGACTGAAAAAAACATTTGTAGAGATAAGCAAGATGGTTTAACAGTCTGTGAAGTTTGGTCAAAATTTACCTTGGGATTGAGATGTTTTAAGAAGTTTGTGGATAATGATGACAGACTTAATGCCATTACAAAAGCTCAGTTTGGAGCATTTTTTGCTCCAAGAGCTAACAACAATCTAAATTTCGCTTGATTAGGACAGTCTCATTATTTCTTTATCATGTATAACCAAAAATGTCTTAATTCAATTTAAATGTTAAATAACTTACATTGGCTGCAGCAAGTGTCTGAGTCTGGCCAACATCATTACCAGTATATGCTGAAACATACAATTAAAATATGTCTTATCTGTTGGCTTGTGTTTTATTTTTCAGGCAGTACATATCATGCACAGTACTATACCTCACAGTGCCAAGCTATCAGACTTTACAAAATGAGTTTGACTGTCACACATGACCAATAAACAAGAGGGCCCTGGATCGCTCACCTGGGAAATATGTCAAAATGTTAAAGTGGAGACCCTTTCACCTGAGAAAAAATAGCCAAAATTTAAACATCGTGAAAAATACAGGATTTACAGTACATACATGGAAAATCAATGACCTGGGGCAGGGCCAAATTTGACCCAGGGCTTTCATTTGAACAAACTTGGAAGACATCCACTAGAAGATGTTTTATGCAAAATATCTAAGAGTTTTAAGTTTTAACTATATACATGTATATATAAAACAAGAGGGCCATGATGGCCCTGAAGTCGCTCACCTGTACATAGGCCCCCGGAGCAGGGCCAGTTTAAAGCCCGAGGCTTTTATTTGAACAAACTTTGTAGACAACCATTAGAAGATGTTTCATGCTAAACATCTAAGGTCTAGCTTGTTGGGATTTTTATAAGAAGATTTTTTTAAGTTTTTTCTTTACACATATAGTTAAAAACAATGACACACCTGGGGCAGGGCCAGTTTTGGCCCCAGGGCTTTTATTTGAACAATCTTTGTAGACACTTACTAGAAAATGTTTCATGCTTAATATCTAAACTCTAGCTATTCAGGCTTTTTAAAAGAAGATTTTTAAGTTTTTGCTATACTCGTATAAGGAAAATCAATGTCCCCCGGGGCGGGGCCAATTTTGACTCCAGGGCTTTTATTTGAACAAACTTTGAAGACACTCAGTAGAAGATGCTTCATGCTTAATATCTAAACTCTTGATATTTGAGTTTTTTCAAAGAAGATTTTTCAACTTTTGCTATAGTTTTACACATATAGGGAAAATGAATGATCTCTGGGGTGGGGCCAATTTTGACCCCAGGGGTTTTATTTGAACAAACTTTGTAGACAATCACTAGAAGATGTTTCATGCTTAGAATCTAAACTCTAGCTATTTGGTTTTTTCCAAAGAAGATTTTTTAAGTTTTTCCTATATACATATAAGGAAATTTGGAAAATCAATGACCCCCAGGGCCGGGCAAATTTTGACCCCAGGCCGTTTATTTGAACAACCTTGGTAGACACCCATTAGAAGATGTTTCATGCTAAATATCTTAGCTCTAGCTCTATGGGTTCTTTAAAAGAAGTTTTTTAAAGTTTTTACTATATGTATAAATGGAAAATCAATGACCCCCTGGGGTGGGGCCAACTTTGACACCAGGGCTTTTATTTGAACAGTCTTGGTAGACATCCATTAGAAGATGTTTCATGCTAAATATCTTAGCTCTAGCTCTTTCAGGTTCTTTAAAAGAAGATTTTTTTAAGTTTTTACTATAATTATATTGGGAAAATCAATGACCCCCTGGGGCGGGGCCAATTTTGACCCCAGGGCTTTTATTTGTACAAACTTGGTAGACAACCATTAGAAGATGTTTCATGCTAAATATCTTAGCTCTAGCTCTTTGGGTTCTTTAAAAGAAGATTTTTAAAGTTTTTACTATATGCATATAGGGAAAATCAATGACCCCCTGGGGCGGGGCCAATTTTGACCCAAGGGCTTTTATTTGAACAAACTTGGTAGACACTCACCAGAAGATGTTTCATGCCAAAAATCTAAGCTCTAGCTCTTTGGGTTTTTTATAAGAAGATATTTTAAGTTTTTTCTTTTGGTTGCCATGGCAACCAGAGTTCTGCATGGAATGGGGGACAGTAGTGGATTATCTTCCCTTGATAAAAACCGAGGTTAACCAAAATGTAAGTAGGTCCAAATATTTGGAATCCTTTGCTTTTATCGTTGAGTTTTATATAAGACAGGTTGATATGTCTTAATCAATTATTTACACATGCATCAACAAATATGTAAACCTTAAGGAAAAAATGTTTAATTTATGTCAACAGATTCTACATCTTATCGCAATATCTAATCTGAATATTACAAATGATCATAATTAGCCCTAATTAATTCAGTTTGCTACAAAGAAATAGGCGATAAAGTCCGAGTAATCCAATAGCTTAGGACCTATCTATTTATAGGGAGTACTCATGGGAGGTTATTCACTACTGTCCCTCATTAAATTCTTTGAACAATTTTCAAAGGTGACCACCAAAGGAACATTCCTGTGAAGTTTGGATGAAATTGGCTTAGTGGTTTATGAGGAGATGCCATTTAAAGTAAAAGTTTACGGACGACGGACGGAAGCCGGACGAAAAGTGATCACAAAAGCCCACCCTGTCACTTTGTGACAGGTGAGCTAAAAATCAATGACCCCCTGGGGCGGGGCTAATTTTGACCCAAAGGCTTTAATTTAACAAGAGCTGTCCGTAAGACAGCACGCTCGACTTTTTTAGTGCTTGCCTATAATACAAAACATTGACAGTTAAGGGCCATAATTCAAATAAAATCTTTGACAGAATTACCTTCTCCTGGACATGTTTGGGAATCATGATTGTAAACAAGTATTCCAACTTTCAAATTAATATCTCAAACAGTTCAGTCAAAAAGTGGACTGGTACTAAAAACTTAACCAAGATTCTAAGTCGATAAAAGGCCTTAATTTTTAAAACAAATCCTTGACAGAGTTACCTTCTCTTGCGTACAGATGGGGGTAATGATGTGAAATAGCATTAAAAGTTTCAAAGCAATATCTCAAAGGGTTAAGGCAATAAGTGGATTTTACCCATATTCAATGTATTTTCTAAGTCAAAAAGGGGCATAATTCTGTCAAAAACCTTGACAGAGTTATGTCCTCTTGTCTGTTGATGAAGGTCGTGATGGTAAACAAGTATGGTCAGTTTCAAAGCAATACCTCCAATGGTTTGAAATAAAGTGAGGTGGTACAAAAAACTTAACCAAGCTCAATACACTTTCTAAGTCAAAAAAGGGCCATAATTCTGTCAAAAACCTTGACAGAGTTATGTACTCTTGTCTGTAGATGGAGGTTATGATGGTGAACAAGTATGGTAAGTTTCAAAGCCATACTTGTAATACTTCTGAAATAAAGTGGGGTGGTACGAAAAACTTAACCAAGGTGTGACGCCAACGCTAACGCTAACGCCGACGCCGGGGCGAGTAGGATAGCTCCCCTTTTCATAGAAAAGTCGAGCTAAAAAAACTTTGTAGAGACCCATTTGAAGATGTTTCATGTTTAAAGTGACATTATGCTCATTTTATTTTCTCTTTGTCAAATTGTTTTTAATTGACTATATATTTCAATGAACTGGTCGTTATAATAGTGATTGACCAACACATGATATTTGAAAATGTTTAGGGTAAAAATAAATCTACCTAAATATATAAAAAGACTGCCCCACTCTTTTTATAAATTGAAAGTTACAGATACATTCCGACGGATAATTACACACTTTTCACACGGCCTAGTGAGTTATTGATCGTTCATGTGAAGTATATTATAAATTGAAAGGAATTAGGAGAAAATGTTAACTTATTTTGACTTTCAGCTGTTCACTCTATATCTACCAATGGATGGGCATAATGTCACTTTAATATCTAGGCCTTTGCTCTTTGTGTCTTTTTAAAGAAGACTTTTTTTTAAGTTTTTACTATAGACATGTAAGGAAAACCAGACCCCCGGGCAGGGCCAATTTTGACCTGAAGGATTTTATTTGAACAAACTTGATGGACACTCACTAGAAGATGTTTCATGCCAAAAATGTAAGCTCTAGCTATTTGGAATTTTTTACAAGAAAATATTTTAAGTTATACTATATACATATAAGGAAAAGCAATGATCCCCTGGGTGGCCAATATTGACCCTAAGGCCTTTATTTGAGCAAACTTGATAGACACTCACTAGAAAATATTTCATGCCAAATATCTAAGCTTTACCTCTTTGGGATTTTTAAAAGAAAATATTTTTAGTTTTTTCTTTTCTTTGCCATGGCAACCAGAGTTCTGCATGGAATGAAATTCTTTGAACAATTTTTAAAGGTGACCACCAAAGGAACATTCCTGTGAAGTTTAGATGAAATTGGCTAAGCAGTTTATGAAAAGATGTCGTTTAAATAAAAAGTTTACGGACAGATGCCGGACGAAAAGTGATCACAAAAGCTCACCATGTTACTTTGTGACAGGTGAGCTTAAAATTGTAAAGTTTCAATCCAGTTGTCAGGCATCTTCAAATCTAAGATAAGTCATTTATATTCCTAGTATGGCAATGTTTTTATTACTTTATAATACCACGCTTCATTAATGTATAATGTATTTTAATTGAACAAAAGTGTGTCTCACCTTTTAAATATTAATTAAGCAAAACATCTACATACATAGGATTTAAATACTTGGTGTACACAATTTTTTTAAAATTTTATCTACCTTTGACCTCTATAAAAGACGTCTTACCTTTGTCAAAAGAGACATAACTTTGTATGACACTCTGGCTAACACTAGCAGTCACTGAATTTTGAAGTCTTTTTAAAATAGTCTGAATATAAAAGTTCAGTTTAATAATGCAATTACTATATGCAATTCTTCAAGGGCATAAAAAAATATATGAGCCGCGTCACGACAAAACCAACATAATGGGTTTGGACCAGCATGGATCCAGATAAGCCTGCGCAGTCTGATCAGGATCCATGCTGTTCGCTTCCCAACTCTATTACAAGTAGAGAAACTGATAGCAAACAGCATGGATCCTGATCAGACTGCGCGGATGCACAGGCTCATCTGGATCCATGCTGGTTGCAAGCGCACTATGTTGGTTTTGTTGTGACGCGGCTCATATTTAAAATGAAGTTAAATGTCTTACCAGGCTGTCCTGATTGTTGACTGAAAAGTTCCTGGCTCCCATTCAGAAAATCACCCTGAATTATAAAACATTTGTTATAAGCATTAATAATTAGCTATGCTGATGCATAATATTCAATTCTGATTTTTATAAACTAAGGTATTACCTTCCTATAGGTCTCTGAAACCTGACCACAAATATTAAAGAAAAATTGTTAATACTAAAGATTTCTTCTAATGTTTTAACATTGAAATCAATATTGTTATTCTGCGAACATCATGGGCCATTTCTGTTAAACATATATAACGGCTTGGAAAAGATAATCTGATGTGAAGTGGAGTAATACATTTTCAATGCTGTTAACAAATTTAATAATAAGACCACCTAATATATATATATTTATACTGTGTCCTTTCTAGAAATTCAAAAATAGGGGTGAATTTCCCTGTCATTTTAAAGAGTAGGGACAATTTTGGAAAACAATTGGTGCTCTTTTATATCAAGTCAAGACCAGACAGAGACTTTTTATACATAATTTGCAAGGTAGCAATCTATATGGCTCTCTGCCGCTGAATTTTCAGGTCTGCTTTGGGGCAAGATACTATAGTACTATTGAAATGTGCATCCCCTAGAGCCAATGACGACGATGCTTGTTTAGTGTCAGTTTATATAAGAAATAAATTATTCTTTACTATGATGTGATTTGTCTGCACTTTGTTGACATCTTATACATGGAAACGTTCAACTGATGATTTTCAATTTAACAGCAACAAGAATTGTCTTTCTTGGTTTTTTTAACGAAAATACTGATTTAATTTATGTTACAGTGACCTCCCTTTAGTTTCCAGTGTTCATGTAAACAAAAAAAGTTAAAGAGATACTATGCTTATCTTCAGGTGAAAAACTTTCATTGCAAAAATTTATTAAAATCTACAAAAATTTTGCATTAAAATCTACAAAATTCTTACCGAATATGTCTAATTTGAGTAATAGAATGCACTAACTATGTTTGAGAAGCTGCATTTTCTTTCACTGGTCAAGTTAAGTTGGCCCTTTCTTAAAAAAAAACTGACAGTTTTTTTTAATGATAATACCTATTCATACTTCATAATGTTTTAACCTACAGTATGTAAAGTTTAAAACGTAACATATCTTCTCAGTGTGTACTCAAAACATGTTTACTTTACAGACTTTATAGAAATTATCAGTATTTTTAAAAATAATCTTAAGCATAATTCATGTAGATAACAGGAAGTTTAACACTTTTTGAGAAAGTTCATCAATTCAGATGTGGGATCCTCACACACTTATCCCAAAAATATGCAAAAATCTTTGACAAAATAGCCCGCAATCACTTATCCCAGAATAGACACTGCAGATCTTCTTTGAAAATTGTTAACATGATTGACATGAAAAATACAGAATTTTAAAACTGATTGCTGAAACAAGTGAATTATCTCAATAACAAGCCCTTACAAATGATCAATACCATGCCTACAATAACAACACAAGTAAGTGATAAAGACCTGATTCTGGGCAGATTGGTCTGCCATGATAACAGGTGGGACTTCGTCTGTTACATGCTGTATACTTCCATATGCATCCCCTGAAATAATGAGAAAATAATCTGTCAGTTTATTGCAGTTGTAAATGAAATTGAATTCTGCTTATAAATTCTTTAAATTTCCTTTTTTTTTTTTGGCAGAAAGAAGGTAATTTCACACAGTGGGACTTACCACCTCTTAATATAGTAACATTTACAATGTTAAGTATTTCTGGAAGATTATTATAAATTTTTTAAAACAATAAAATAGCAATATACTATTATTATATACAAATATATATATACATTCATTTCATGATTACAATGTTATAATATATTTACATTATATTATATACTATATATTCATGAATTATTTGTTCTGCTTCAAGTTCCACCTCTACATTTCTCATCTCAGCAGGAAACTGTCTCTCCAAGTCCAAGGGCACTGGTGTTTCTTTTAATATAAATTAAGTAAGTATTTTACAAAATATCTGCTTATCATTTACTTACCTTGTCCTTGGTAAAGCACTGCCCCATTATCTGCATATTGAGCACTAACTACTTTACTTTCTGTGACAATAGGCAGCACATTTGACGCTTCCATTTTCACCCTGAAAATGGATTTTATTATTCATTATCTTTAAATATGCATATATATGATCAGTGTTTCTTCATTATTTTTTGGGGGATCATCTTTCATTTCTTATGTTTCTGTATATTTTTTTCATAGGATCATATAGTTGAGTCTGATAATTCATATTTGCTAAATATTTTTATCTACAATTATGGCAATATCATACCCACTAAAAAAAATTAACTTTCAGAGTCCGGGCCAGGAAAAAATCATCTGGGCTGGAAATAAATCTAACTATTTCTAAGGATCCCAGTCCTTGTGGCTGGGAAAAAAAATTTACTTTCGCATTGACTGGACTTAATCTCTGATATTGGAAGTCACATTATATAGGTAAAGATGAAAAAAACATTAAATTTTGGAAGTCACAAGCCAAAATTAAGGAGTAAATGACGCCCAAACTTCCATTAACGGAAGCATTGTATAAACGTTTGGGATTTCGTCTATACCCGCATGCGCAAAAACATTTATATAATAGACCTATTTAAGGGTTTTCCACTATTACCACATGTGTACAGATTAGTGGGAAATGTGATGAAAACCTGTTTAGTTATCAGAATTTTGACCTATAAAACTAATTAAATAATTTTATGGCTTGAATGGGTCAAATATCCTGCATTCTCGCACGCCATTACATGCGAATTTGTTGGGGGTACCGGGTATAGATACCAGCGGTCTGTCTACGCTCTATTTCCTGAATTATATCTATTTACCTCTGGGGAAAATGGTGGTTTCAACAATTAAAAATGTACAATAGGTCTGATACAATAACAATTATAATGGGTTGTTACTTATATTTTATGTTCGGGAACTACTTCTCTTCATACAAAATAATGAATAATTTCGGTACCCTACATCATGTACATGAGGTCTCATAACTAAGGGTTATTCTATGTTTGGCTCACAGGGAAGACTGGGCTTGCCCAACTGTGTTGCCTCATTAAATGAAGTTGTTTCTTACTAATAAAGTCATCGTTTAGAACATAATGAAATTTCCATAATTTGTGTGACGAGCCGAATATTGATGTGTAACAATCAATGTTTTGATGAGCGAGCATTATAAAAAATAAATTTTAAGTAACTACCATATTTTTGTACAGGTACTGCTCGCATGCCAGTTTGGAAAAATGTTCAAAAAGTGTCCAGTTGATGGCCCTTACCAGCAGGCCCACAGTGAAACAGAAAGAAAAAAATATTAAACTAAAAAATACTTTCAAATTTAAACAGAAAAAAATCAGTCCTAGCTACCTGTAATATTTCAGATGTATTTTCCATGTCTAAAAAATGACAGTTAAAATTCAAAATAGGTATTTAGGCATTACACTAACAGTTTCACAGGAATCCGGGTCAGCTCGGCCCTAAAACGTACTCGGCCCCCAAGTCAGCTCAGCCCTATTCCAACTCGGCACGGGTCAACTCGGCCCACTTTTCAATTAATAATATTTAGGTTTGTGTTATCACTATTTATTGTAATTATTGTAATTATTTATAATACAGGGATTGACAGTTTCCGAACTAGCAGCAGACAGGCTTCCTTATCAGTAGAATAGTGAGTAAAGATAACCGATTGCGTATCTCACTGTATTTCTGACTCGTGGTAGGTTTAACCGTAAATTTAAATACCTTCAGTGTCCAACTGACTCATTCATTCAAATTTGATTAGTGACCACCTGCAATTAATTAGAAGCTTATGATATTAAGTAAACACGTTTTGTTTCTTATTTTTTGAATATTACTTTTAATACAAACTGTATCTAAGGAAACACATTTTCATTAGATCTATATTAATTTTATCGAATCTGCAAGACAAATAAATAACTTTTTTTTTCTAAATATATACTTTATTTCCGTAGAAGTAGATCTCCAATGTAAAATTATATAATATTAATAGTAAGAGATTTCTCATTATTCATTTACCTTAACAACATGCAAAGCAAAGTTAATACGTTATATATATTTTTGTAAAGTGGGCCGAGTTGACCCGTGCCGAGTTGGTATAGGGCCGAGTTGACTCTTTTCCTTTCACAGTAGGAAAAGAAAGTTTGTGAATAAGTCAAGGCTAATCTGGCCTAACTAGTTGTCTCTGACCTTTGAAAATTTCATTCAAGATTCAAGCTTGTCTAGAAAGTGACTTCTATGGTCCATGGGTCACAATTGACAAAATACGGTAGTGTGAGTGTGAAAACGTTACAGACTATAAAAGAATGTGCAGATCTACAAATTGATTAAAAAGATCTAGAAAATTATATAATCTGATCAAAATTCGGTCTCCTCTTTCCATTAACACTGGTTCTTTAGTCTATAAGAAATATTAAAACTGTTAAAATGAAGCTCAAATCGTACATTTCCTTTCAAATTTGGTGGTACTTTCGAGTGAACCAAATCCGCCATTTTTCCGTTCTCAATTAAAGCGAAAATTGCAGACCTTTATTTTCAGCATTTATTCCCATGCAATCCCTACGAAACAATGCATGCATCGTCGCAATCGAGGTTACATTTTAGCAGTGACCATTATTTTTGCAAGGTACATAATTTTTATGCAATTCGGGCACAACGTTTGTCCCCCTTCTCAAGGGCACGTAATCAAACTACACGCCATCTTGAATCCTGCATAAATTTCGGTTGCCGGTTATCGCCCATTTAATCATGGCAGCTCAAAGCTTCGCTCTCAAAAAATATTCATATACTTACTAATTTGAGAATTCCTGTTTTTGAAACTTGGTGGAGTCGTAGATAAAGTATTTTTATCATGAATTTTCACACAATTCAAAATGTTAATTTATGTCGCCATTCCCTTTGTCGGTTTTCAGTCCAGGCACGCCGGTTAATGATTACCCATCATGCAACGCGACACACGCAGGCGTGTTTCTTTATGAATGGAAAAATATTGAGCGTGGGAAAATAGGAAATAGTAGAACTTCCCTTTAAAAAATAAAGTATTTAAGTTATATGCATAAAACAATTAAAGATGCATCGATACTACGCTGATATATTTCTTTTAAAAATCAACATAAACTGCCCTCGAGAAAAGTAACAACTGAACAAAAAAAAGAACCAAAAAAAAAACAACAAAAAAAACAAACACGCAAACAAACATGCAACAACAAAACCACGAAAATTGAACAGAGCTAGGGTTTGGAAACAAAAAAAATAATTTTGTTGAGAAGCAAAAAAAATATATATATATAATAATATAAAAAAATAAATAAAAATTAAAAATCTGAAGCGGACAAAATTCACATGCACGTGTTCCATCACTGTCCATATCTATATGAAAAATATGGCGATACTGCATGTTATATTGACTTACAGTTTACCAAATAAGAAAGACCAGTTTCATTAAAATTTGATTTAATAATTCTCATAACATTTAGTATGAAAACTAAGCGACCTTTTTAATGATATCAACAGAGATGATATCTATATGTCTCTGATATTAACAACGCGTGACCTGTGGTTCCAAATTAGCTTGGATGTGCATTATAATTGAAGTCAAGATTTGATAAAAAGAGACATTGTGCACCATGAATATGCAACAACAGTTTATTTAAATAAATTTAAATGACGCTTGCACATGTCTGTCCAACAATTTTAAGTTAAACTAATCACAACTTTTTTTGCAGCAATGTGCCAGGTAGAATCGTCGACAGTGTGTTTTTTTAATCCACCTGAAAATGGAAATGAAGATGTGATACTTATATAGGTCATTCATCAACAGAGCAATGATTATTGAAATAAAATGGATTTTCTTAACTCTTTCACCCTTACACATAGTTTGTTGCAACAAAATATGTATATAACTATGTTAGCCACACAATGGCACCGTCTGATCATAGTCTGCATTGTTCGCTATTCAGTAAATAGGGGCATTGAAAAATGTCAATGGTATTGTCCAGGTTTAAAGATGGACAAATCTATTTATTTTTAGCGTTGTAAGTTCAAAAACGTTTAAAACCGCATAGTTTTCAAGTAATTTACATCCCGTGTACCCTCTGAGCACGGTATATACAGGCAGGGGGGGGGGGGGGGGGGGCTTAATGGGCTGAAGCCCCCAAACACCCTGCTCACTACAGTACCATGAATGACAAATTTAACCCTGATATTGACTTGGGTGTTACACTGTTTTATTATACGCCCGTTTGAAAAACGGGACGTATTATGCAAACGCCCCTGGCGGGCGGGCGGGCGGCGTCCAATTTTGTCCGGAGCATATCTCCTACATGTATGGAGGGATTTTAATGGAACTTCATAGAAATGTTCACCACTATGAGGAGCAGTGTCGCGCACATGAACCAGGTCTCTAGGTCAAAGGTCAAGGTCACACTTAGAGCTCATTGAAAAATGCTTGTCCGGAGCAAAACTTCCACATGTATAAAGGGATTTCAATATTACTTGGCACAAATGTTCACTATTGTAAGGCGGAGTGTCGCGCGCAAGATTCAGGTCCTTGCGGCCAAGGTCAAGGTCACACATAGAGGTCAAAGTTCAGATAAAAATATGAAGATGTGTATATGGACCATTTAGTCAGCATTTATTGAGGGATTGTAACACAAATGGTCATTATCAAGACTATGGCTGTGATACATATAATTTAGGTCAATATATACAAGGTCAAGGTCACTAAAGATGATGAAATATCCAGACTTTGTCCGGAGCATATCTCCTACACGCATGGAGGGATTTTAATGAAATTTCATAGAAATGTTCACCATTATGAGAAGCCATGTCACGCACATGAACTAGGTCTCTAGGTCAAAGGTCAAGGTCACACTTAGAGCTCATTGAAAAATGCTTGTCCGGAGCAAAACTTCCACATGCATAGAGGGATTCCAATATAACCTGGCACAAATGTTCACCATTGTGAGGCGGAGTGTCACGCACAAAATTCAGGTCCCTGCAGCCAAGGTCAATGTCACACATAGAGGTCAAAGTTTAGATAAAAATATGAAGATGTGTATAGGGACGATTTAATCATCATTTATTGAGGGATTGTAACACAAATGGTCATTATCATGACTACGGCTGTGACACATGTACTTTAGGTCAATATATGCAAGGTCAAGGTCACTAAAGATGGTGAAATATCCAGATTTTGTCTGGAGCATATCTCCTACATGTATGGAAGAATTTTTATAATACTTTATGGAAATGTTCACCACCATGATATGTATTGCTCCATGCATGATCCAGGTCTCCAGGTCAAAGGTCAAGGTCACACTTAGAGCTCATTGAAAAACGCTTGTCCGGAGCAAAACTTCTACATTCATAGGGGGATTTCAATATAACTTGGCACAAATGTTCACCATTGTGAGGCGGAGTGTCGCACACAAAATTCAGGTCCCTGCAGCCAAGGTCAAGGTCACACATAGAGGTCAAAGTTTAGATAAAAATATGAAGATGTGTATAGGGACGATTTAATCATCATTTATTGAGGGATTGTAACACAAATGGTCATTATCATGACTACGGCTGTGACACATGTACTTTAGGTCAATATATGCAAGGTCAAGGTCACTAAAGATGGTGAAATATCCAGATTTTGTCTGGAGCATATCTCCTACATGTATGGAAGAATTTTTATAATACTTTATGGAAATGTTCACCACCATGATATGTATTGCTCCATGCATGATCCAGGTCTCCAGGTCAAAGGTCAAGGTCACACTTAGAGCTCATTGAAAAACGCTTGTCCGGAGCAAAACTTCTACATTCATAGGGGGATTTCAATATAACTTGGCACAAATGTTCACCATTGTGAGGCTGAGTGTCGCACGCAAAATTCAGATCCCTGCGACCAAAGTCAAGGTTACACACATAGGTCAAAGTTCAGATAAAAATTTGAAGATGTGTATAGGGACCATTTAGTCATCATTTATTGATGGATTGTAGCACATATGGTAACTATCATGACTACAGGTGTGACACATTTGATTTAGGTTAATATTTGCAAGGTCAAGGTCACTGGAGATGATTAAATATCCAGATGTTGTCCGGAGCATATTTTCTACATGCATGGAGGAATTTTAATGTTACTTTATAGAATTGTTCACCACCATGAGACGTAGTGCCCTGCACATGAACCAAGTCTCTAGGTCAAAGGTGAAGGTCACAGATAGAGCTCATAGAAAAACGCTTGTCTGGAGCAAAACTTCTACATGCATAGAGGGATTTCAATATAATTTGGCACAAATGTTCATCATTGTGAAGCTGAGTGCCGTGCATAAAATTCAGGTCCCTGCGACCAAGGTCAAGGTCACACATCCTGTGCATATCTTCCCTACTGATTTGTTTTAAGCTTCATTTAACAACACAGTGCCAAGAATAAAAACTTGCTTGCTAGATAAAACTTATCCATAATGCCCCCATCTCCATCTAAAGCTTTCGTAAACGGGCGTATTTTGTGACTATGGCACCCTTGTTTTAATTATAAAGCAGCATATGCTGAAATTTTGTGTATTTGCCAACGATTATCGAGGTATTGCGCTCTAGACGTCAGAATGGTTATTATAGGAGACAAAACTTTCAACGGTTAAGAAAGTTGAAATCATTTTAATTATTTAATTATGAAAGAACCATACATTATTTGTGAGTAAAAGCTCTTGATTGATCAACAACCACTGAACAAAGAAAACAATTAAATTGAGCATTTTCTGGGCCCTCCGGGTTTGATGGTCGTCCGGTTTTGTTGGTCTTGAGCAATGCAGTACATGAAAAAAGACGGACGTGCGCTTAACGGGGTCAAGCTTAAATCCGGAAAATTCTCTCCCTTTTCTTTTAAATAAACTTTTAATGGATTGTCTCCTTATTTTTGTATGGCCGAAAAAAATTCGGGCATATTATGTTAAACCCCCTGGCGTCCGTCCGTCCGTCCGTCCGTCTGTCTGTCCGTAAGCAATTTGGTTTCCGGAGCATAAATTAAGTTCCAATTGGCCCACATTATTCAAACTTCATAGGATGATTGTCCATATTTGGTAGAAGACCCCTATAGATTTTGGGGTCACAAGGTCAAAGGTCATGGTCACTATTACCTAGCGAAAAGTCGAGAATTAACAAGTTAAAATGGCGGACACGCTAATTAGCAGGGGCAAGGGGCGAGATTTAAGAAATAATTAACTTTTCGCTTGGAGGGTTCACGGGGCGAAAACACGAATGACACAAATCAGCCACCAAACAAAAGTAATACATCACCTTAACAGAAAAGAAATGCCTCAGAAATAAAACATTTCTCGGCGAAGCATGCCGCGGACCCCACCTCCCCCCGGGAAAAAATGTAATGAAGCATGAAGTATTTAAAAGACAGAACAATTATACATATTTTTCTATAAGGAACACTCGCACGCAGACACGCGTGCGCCGCACACTATTTCTTATTATCTCGACTGTTTGGAAGAAAAAGTCGTGTTATGGTAGGTGCGTCGTCGTCGTAAAAGTTAGCCAATTTCTCAAACAATCTTATATTAACAACATGGTGTAGTTTGAAGACAATGGACATACTTTTGAAAGCAACATTTTAAGGGTTTTGTCATCTCTTAACTTAGAATAATTGCCGAAATTAAGTAGAATGATGTCAAATTATGAATGGTTTCAA